TCCCTTAGCATGCACATTAATGGTGACATTTTTAAAGGCAGCAGCAGCAGTTTAGAATGACTGTTCTTTGATAGGTATAAAGAGTGCACAGCAAAGGACCTTACTGCTTAACAATCTCTAGTTACATTCCTATTCTTGTCAACACCTTCACAAGTTGGGAACCAAACAAGTGCCAGACACACACCCCACCATGGAGGAAGAGAGTTAAAAATCCCAACTTGCCCCTAGGGAAAGCACAGTATCCTTACCAGGTATCAGCATCCATAAAGTTTATGAACTTGTTCCTCTCTTTTCTACATGAAAGCACAGGGGTTTTTTCATGCTTCTGTATCTGCCTTTGAATTCCTAACCATCTTTCAAATTGTTATTGCACCAAATGTAAGTATTTATTGTCTCAGGTTCCCGATTTTTCTTGGCAATTTCTGTCTAATCTTTACTCTGACATCTGTGGCTTACAATATCACTTACACAGTTGGGTATTATGATCATCTTAGCTTTTTTTATGTGCAGACCAGTATATAAAAGCTGCACTTCTCTATGAAGTAACCTATTATACAATTATATTTTATAAAGAGACTTCCTACCATATCTCCTTAAAAATTAGACTTAAAAACTCTTTAACACACATGACATGCTCCCTGAATTTCTAAATTACACATAGTATACAGATGGCACAAACATAAAAAAAATATCACTTCTTTAAGTGTTGCTGCGTACTCCATTCAGCAGCTTCTTGGATGCCCCAAAAGGTAGCACAAATAGAAAGAGCCAAAGCCGTTTCTCGCATGTAAAACCTTGGAAAAAATATACAAAAGAAGAAGAATTAAAAAAGGACACAGCAGCCAACTTTGTGGTTTTAACTCTTCAGCTGAAGAGTCACTTCTACAAGACCAGGAACCAAGGTTTAACAGGTTCACAACTCTGGCCCCAAAATTGTACTCTTCTCATTGCAGGAAATATAAGGAAAGAAGTAGGCAAAGGTCATGAAAAAGAACTGAAAGCAAGAGGGGAGATACCAAGGTAATGAAACAAGAGTGCTAACACATTGTATTTTCAAAACAATAATTGAATGTAGTCTGGTCAATACCAAAACCAAAAGACAATACCTACAGTTGCCTGGCAGAACTGCTTTACAGAAGCAATGGTTTAACCAGAAAGGGGTGTCTATTGGCTTCCAATACAGAATATTTTCTGTCAAAATTTCTGCCAAAAACTTGACACTTGGTCTCATGTTTGGGATCTATAAAAAAGCAACCAGACTTACAAGTGAAAGGAATCCTATCATCTCCTACAGAAACCAGAGACATTGATATAAAATGCCAGCATGGTATGTGTGCCTTCAGCACTACAGGCATTATGGTTCCCCATCTCAAGAAGTATGTATTAGATACAAGGAAATCCAACTAGGATCTATGAAGAGCTGGGGGGAGGGGGAAGAAAAAAAAAAAAGATAATCTCCCAAGGTTCAAGAAGGCATATGCTGAAAATAAGAATATTCAGTAGAAAGCATTGTTGAGTGCCTGCCCTCCTCTCCCGTTCTTCCCCAGGGATTCTCTCTGGCCATGGTGGGAAGGTGGGAAACAGGCTACTACACAAACTGAAACTTTGGTCTAACTTAGCATGCCATCCTCATGTTCATCGGTGATCCTGAAAAATCAAACTAAACGTTTTAAAGTTAAGTTGTGACATCCAACTTCAAAAATTTGAGCTTTGAATCCTCTGGAAAAGTCACGTGTTGAAAGAAACATAAAGAAAGAAACATGGAACTGAAGAAGAAAAGCTATTTTCATCCATCAGTCACACACAAATTTATGATACACAGATTTTGAAAGAAATAAAATGGCCATATTCTTTTTGATTAATATAAATGGATCTCTTCTTCCATCATACTGGACTTTTGCCTTAGTCTGTATCAGTTACTTCACTTGATAAGCAAAACTGTGGCATGTGAATACCAGGAATGCTTTAGACAGATTATTGGACTAAGTTGATTTACTGCTTGTTAATTATTATTCGCTGTTTCTCACTAGTCATTTGGTACTATACTGAAGCAGATTGTCTGGAAATAGTCAAGATGCTTTTATTATAGAAATTAAATTTAAAAAACCCCAAAACAAAACAACAGAAATTACAGAGTTAGTGTTGAAATGACCATAAATAGATAAATAAATAATTTTAAAAGTCATTTGGTCATTTCAGAAGCAAGGCCAACCACTGGCTTCTTAAAAGGCAGTTAGAAGAAAGCATGTCAGGAATACACCCAAGGTATCTGTCTCAGGGAACATTTAGTCAATCAAATATGCAACAAATGCAAAAAATGCAACAAACTACATTTGTATAAAAATCCAGATTTTTCTGGATACTATTCTGAACATACTGTAAAGCTAAAGGAGTTTGAAGTATTACTATAGGTAGAACTCAAATTAGTTTGGTATGGTTTGTTTGGGTTTTTTATTTTTTTTTTTATTAAAAAGCTATTTCTTCATATTTTTATCTAAATATACTATGTAGTCATTTATTAAAAAATAATGAGGAAATGAAAATTAGAAACAAGTAACAGATATGCTTACTAGACAACTAGAACATTAGGATTAATTCAAGAGGGAAAAAAACAAGGAATAATTTTTTTATTCACATATTTAAAATGTTGCTAAGAATTCCTTACAGAATGACAAGCATCAATAGAAAATATGGAACGAAAGAACCTTTCTTTCACACTTTATTCATTTGCCCAATACCATAAAACACCTTTAGGGAAAAATAGCATACTGTTTTTTCTGAGTAGAGAGTGCTGGTTTGAAGAAAGATTCCATTCCTGTATCACACAGTCTCTGTAGTTAGTTTATAACTCTGCAGCAAAAGCTTCCAGAACTATGTGGTAGAAAGGAATGCATAGCCATATTGGTAGTGAGTTGCAATATTAAGTTACTTATGTATCTGTATGCCTGCGAAGCAGGAATATTTTTGCGTTGGTTTAGTTACACAAGTAAGGAACTAGCAAATGACAGTGGCACAAGAACACCCATTGCTAGTATAAGATTTATTCACAAACTAAAATTAAATAAAAGCATCATCATATGACAACCCTAACTTGAGAGGTGGTAAACTGTGTAACACATTCTGATTAAGCGTATGCTCTTAGACTGTTGGTTCTCCACAAGTACGTGAGCAAAATTATTTTCTTGACATCTATTTTTCACAGAAAATTAGCTGAAGGTACTTGTAGCTTTCACTTTTTTCCTTCAAAATTCCTGAATACCTATATGACAAATACCTGTACTGAATCAGGAAACAGAAATACTATGCAATGTATCCTGACTGTAATTCCTCAATGGTGAAGAGAAAAACCACAGCAAATTCATTCCAATGAAGGGATGGATTTTTTTTAACACAACTTCAAATTAAAAAATGTGCAAGAGGATATTACAATGATCATAGCTATTTTATGAGCAGAAAAGACTAATCTTGGATACAATTATCACTCTTACAAGTCATTTGCTCAGACTTTTTTGATCTACATTCATAATAATTCACATCTGTTGCTTCATCACAGACATAATCAGAAAGCAAAGATTGAGTTTTTTCCTTGCCATCACTAATATTATGTTTCATGGAGTTTGTTTCCCAAATTTAGCATGACAAGGTCACCACCAGACTACAGAATAACCTGCAACAAAGTCCTTCATACCAGTGTATTGAAAAACCTGAAACATTACTTTAAAATAAGCTCCCGGATGGGTGTACGGGAGTTGCTCTTACTTATGCACTCTCGGTAAAGACAACAGCCTTCAACTTTTATTTACTCCACTGGTCAACAACTTAATTTTCATATTATCAGGTTCGCTGAGCAATACAACACTTTTAAATCCAGACTACATATCAGATAAAATATTTTTCTGAAAATGTGTCAACTGCAATTCATAAACATCCCTATTTGCCAAGCTCAACAGCTTTTACAACACTTACTAAATTCTAACACATCAGAAAAAATTATTTACTGAAGGAACCATCTACAGATATCAATCAACTGCATAGGGCCAAAAGGCTAAACTTTTCACTCTGATGTAAGCGTACTCCGTAAATGAATATCATCTAAACATGAAACTGTAATTCTCCCAATGACTGCTTTATACCTAAAAATAACACTGCTGAATGCTGCAATTACATTTCTCAGCTGGAGACATCTTTCTACATTATTTTCTTGAATGTGTAAGATCCAGGCTCAACAGTGTGCTAATCAGCTGTACTGAACTCTAAATGTGATCTAATTAACTAGAAACTACTCAGATTTGATTGGTGGGGGTTTTTTGGTTTGCTTTTGAATGCAAGCAGATCTTAATCACCTTGTCTGCCCTCCAAAGAAGAGAGTAATGAAAAAAGACAAGATGTTCAGAGGAAAAAAACCCAACCTATCATTACAAAATATCCTTAGGTCCTGACAACATCTACTTACTCTCAAAATGACATTTGCCCAGCTATTTCTTATGGATTCTGACTTTCAAATTTCTAGTCTTAAAACTGTTCACAAGTAAGAATCACCTACAGTGAGTATTCTGGTCACAGTGCAAGCCCTAACCATTTTAACTATGCCTTACAGTTAGCCCGTGATGAACCGGAAAAAACATCTCCTTGCCCTCAGTTTAGTTTGGTGAAGGAAACAGCGCTTCCGCATAAAGCTTGGTTCTCGGCACTAGGAAGTTCATCACACATACTATGCATCCCTATTCGAATTGGGTGTGTTCTTTGTCTGGCAGAGCAGGTTAGGAAAGATGTATGCACCAGAAGATATTCTTAGATTAGCAATGACTATCTGTTAGGCCAAATCTCCCGACTCCTCTAAAATTGTTAACGTTTAACAGAGCTTACGGGAAAGAAGGATGAACACAGCTAGTGACCTCTTGAGTAATCCTGTCACTAACTCTTTCTCTCTCATATCAAAAGTATTCATAACAATATATAAGCCAATAAATTGAACATCTGCCATATCTTTTTTTACTCACCTACGCAGTTATCGCAAAGGCTGCAATGTGAGGCACGAGGTGGACGGAAAATCTTGCAAGTAAAACAGTATTTTAGTTTCACTGTCTGTCCATTGATGATCACTTCTTTTGTTCTGGGAGGGGGGCGGTATCCTCCTGAACTGGAGCCATTTGCAATATCTAAACATGGAAATAAAATGCATTACATTTTTCACATGAGCTTTGGTGTATCCACAGAACTGTCTTTGATGGCAACCATTGTAAGTTTTAAATTAATATCAACACACTTAGAATAAAACTACTTTTTTCCTATTCTCATTCTCCTAAAATAACATGTAGCAAAAAGATAGTTAATTACAATCAATTTGAATTAAAGAAATCACCCAACCCAATTCTCAAATGCTGACATCAACCTTGATCACAAAACTCGTACACTCTCATACACCCTAACAGTTCATGGAGAATATATTAAAAACTATGACTACTGTAGCAGGATGGTAAACTTGGACAAATCATCTTTAGGATTTTCTTTTCTTTTTTTTAGAATTCCTGTAATAACGAAAAGTCTCTCTAGAAGTGATGCAGAAGTTCTACAACCTAATATAGAATCTGCACATTTACTTAAGCAACAGCAACTCTGTCATTAGACCTTGGCATTTGGCAGAAATAAGATCACTTTGAGATCTCTTAAATGCTGTGATAAAATGAAGCACATTCAGAATAGTATTTCACAGCTCTTGCTGTTTCAAAGTTTGAAAATCTAACTCCCAGTGTTACTTTTACACATCTTGAAGTTTGTTGCATAAAGCTTCCAACTACCGCATTTGGTGCAAGTGGTGGGGTTTTGAGTTCCGTTTGTTTACTTTTGCTTTATTTTAGGACATCGGCATTCATTTCTTCCAGCAACTAAAGGACTTGTTAGGCTGAATCACTGAAGTTCAATTTTGTCCTTTAAATGTGCGCAAACTGAGCTATATCTGAAAGCTAAACATGTAAAGGTGGTACCTTTTACCCGGTTTATCTGTTCTTGTGCAATCACAATCAAATCAAACCACAGAAGCGGAAAAAAAACCCTAAATTATTACTCTTGGACAGGATTAACAGCAAGAACAATGCAAAAGTAAAATAAGTTATTTTCCAATATATGAATGAAACTACATTTCAAAGTCACAGTCACCTGCACAACTGTGTTTCGAGTTGTCACCGTCACTTTTATGTTGGACAAATGTGGAGCCCTAATGACAAGTTACTAAAAGATCCATGACTTATATTTGAGTGACAGAAGTATCACTCACAATCACAATTTCTGCCAGGTCTGTAGACATATTTACACAGGCTACAAACTACATATTTTCGAAGGAGGCAACGAGAAAGCCTCTTACTTAGTAAGGTATTCAAATCAGCAATAGCATAGTTGTGCTAGCAAAGGTTATGCAATCTGCTAGATTTGGCAGCAAATCTAGCTGAAGAAGTTTTTAACATTTGCAACACGCTCACCCACTCCATAAATATGCATCAATAAAAGTATTTGTGGGACAGCACTTTAAACATGACCATTGAAACAACTGGACTTCAGAAAATTCTTGAGAAGAGAGTGGAAGGAGGGGACCAATAGCCGAGAATGATGGAATCAGAGTGTGAAGTTCCTAAGTATCTCTTACGAGAACGAAGTGATGAATACTGAAGGAACAGCAGCTTAGAAGCAGCCTACTAGACCCTGATGAGCTATAGACATTTGCTTGTGTGGTATCTAAACTACCCCCTGCAATGTTCCTGTGATGCTGGACCAGGTCCTATGATCTGCACGTGGAAGCACAGATTACTGTGTGGCTCCCATAACAATCCATATTACCGATTTTGACCTCAAGGCCAATACTACTTGACACAGTATTTTTGATTAAGTATTGTATTACAAGCTACTAGTATATTAATATGCTGAAGCACAACCAGACAGTAAAATTTGTTTAATGTGCAACATGGACATTATCTTGAGTTTCCTTTTTTGTTGTTTTTTTACAGTTACATTATTTTTAAAAACCTCATTAATTTAATGATTGTGATTTTAAAACACTCCAGCAGGTACAAGATTTGATAAGGTCAACAGAAATAATCTAATTTCTTCAGGTTATAGTAAAAACTGTATTTTTTTTATTTGCTTACATAACAGTTTATTCGTCCTCATGACACATCAGTTTGAGTTGGGTAATTTTTGATTTTTGCATTCTAATTCAGCACTAAGCTGAAAAGATGTTCTTTTGAGGGCAAAACACAACTGTGCTTAAACTATTTAAAGCTCTAGAGAGAAATGTACGATTCCTAAATCCAGAAAACAGGGAAGAATCTCTCATCATCCAGAGATTACATTTAGAAAAGCTTCGCTGTTTGCACTGAAAACTTACTTTCTGTAAAACAAATTATCCTAGGCTGCATGAAATGCTGAAATAAATAACTTGTTGTATTAGTACACTCTGCAAAAGACAATACATTATAGGGAAGAAAATCACTATAGTAAGTTTTTGTTACTAAAAATCTGCTGTAGCTGATATTAGTTACTACCACTGAAAAACATAAATATATTTCAATACACTGTACTTGGGTGACATCATCCCCAGTAGTCTTCTAAAATTCTTAGCCCTTCTATAAATTCATGTGCCTTACAAAACACAGTGTTATGCCCATTTCTGACAATAGTCTGGTCAAAATATAGTTAAATTGCAAACAAAAATGTAGGTCATTAGCACCAATTAGCTATTTATCCAAAAAAGCATTTAGCACGTGAAGGTATAACATGTTCGTTAATAAACTAATGATGTCCAATTGATACTCGTACTCAAATTAGGTGCATAATCGTAAAACATGCAAATAAAGCCTGAATTTTATATACATGTAGCTTTCTATACTGCTGCAATCATTGAATTTCATAAAATAACAGTAATATTTAACATTTTGGGTTTTGACAAAATCTTTTTATTCTTGAATATGGACATAATCATGGAAAGAAAACTACTTAAACCAGTCAAGGTGAATTGCTTAGAAGAAAAACGCTTTTTCCTAATGAATCATTTATGCATCCAAAATGCACAAAGACTAAACCCACTATTTTCCCACTTTTCAAGTTAAAAAAATGCACTGTATTAATTTTATTTTAAAATAGGCTCTAGCAGATTCTCAAAGGCAACTTCCCTCTTCTCTGGTGGAAAAGGGAGACTACTGGCCAGCCCATTATACTTACAACATTGGTTTTTCTAAGAGGATTTCCTTCCAAACCTTTGCAGTGAAGTTCAAGTTCACAGGGACAGCAAATCCTAGCTCTCTGAGGAAAATTAATCTCAAAATCCAAGGATGAAAGCTAATGCAAATGAAATTAATGCCAACAGTCTTGCTGACTTTCCATGGAGTCAAAATTTCACCCACAATCCTAAATTGCATAATCAAACCTGAAGTCTCAGTCTTTATGTTTATTAACAATTTTTTTTCTGGAACAAAGCAACAGGGCAAGGTCAAATGTGCTTGGATTTAATCAGATTTATCTAACTTAAATGTGCTAAACATGTCCTGGTGTTTCAGTAATTTTTTCAGACTGTAATTAGCCTTCAATTGGACTGCTCATACTTGGGTTCTAATGCAGTTAAATCTTTTAATACATGCATTCCCTTTAAGGCACCATAAGATTAACCTTTATGGAGTCACCTTCCCCAAATAAACCTGCATTTAATCACTACTTTTTACACTTTTCTCTTCTAATCCATTATTGATGTAGTAATGCAAGTTACTTTACAAAAAGCAAAAAATTTACCACTAATGGGATTGCCTTTCTTCCTCTCTGCTCTGACACATTTTATAACATCTCTAGCAGTGTTAGATGTTCATGCACTAGATGGGGCTCCAGCATTTTCATTACCCTATTATAAAACCCCCAAACACATATTCTTGCAGGACCAAGGTACCTGAACTGCTACAGGAAAGTCAATCCAAGTATTTAATGGAGATAAAGCACAGTCTAGCAACCTTCTCATGTGACAACAAACTCCACTTAGATTTCTCAAATTATTACATTGAAAATAAATGGGAGGTGCTATTTAGATGAGACACAGAGGCTGGTATTTTGTGTATGTATCACCAGGATTCTTCCACTCAATCAAGCACTTGATTTTTGGATGAATTTTCTTAAGATGCTGGGATAAACAGTCTCTAGGTCTCTCCACATTTAGTGTACACAACCTTAACCGTTGTATCATCCAAGGCTTGCTGTCAACTTTAAAGGGATACAATTTCAATTTCAAACAATATCATTATTGTAGTTAGTAACCTGAAGCATTTGTAATGTTTCCTGCTAAGAAAAATAGATAATGCAATAACAAAGTCTTTCTGTATGACCCGGAACATCTGAAGAACAAAAAAAAGGAAAAAAAAAAAACAAACCCAATAAAAAGCCCTGCAAAAATGCAAACCTCATCTTCCACTATGTTTAACCACTTTAAGTTACATACTCAACAACAATGGGCTACATGAGGAAAGAGTAATTTACATTTTTAGGGAAAAGAACTTAAGTTTTCTTGTTTCCAGACAGTCATCTAAGGCGCAAGCAGTACAAGGAGCCGGGCTTAGACTGAAACCAGCAGCTGCTAACTGCATTCTTCAAATAATTCTTCATCTGATGGCCAATGAGAGATACCAACCAAATATTGCTCCTGACTTTAGATAAAAGATTGACTTGATTTCAGAAAAACTTATATATTATTTTCTTAAGAGTAGAATTGCATCACCTTCTTTAGATATAAAAGTTTATGTGAAAGGTATTCTCACTCCCAGAAAGAAATGTAATCTTTAGTGATTTGCTGAGGTAAAGAAGCATAGATAGTAAGAGCTTACCTGACATACAAAGTAATTTCTCTACATTTATGTTAAGAATGTTGCTTAAAGCATGCAATATCAGGCATGACTATAAGCCTATGATGCTGGTATCCCACTTTTGGAAAGAAAACAAAACATACCCACGCTGCACACCCATAAGCGGTATGTATCTGTTCAGCCTCTTGTCAACCCTATGAAACGTCTGTGCTGTGGCACGGATTTAATTTTACAAGGCTTTAAGGTATTTCAAAACAAATGAAAGACAAGCAAGGAATTGTTGAGAAGTCTCAAATGTAGTCTTGAGCATCAATGAAAACTAGAATGCA